GTGTGTGTGTGTGTACTCGGATTTTTGTTACCCACATTTAATTCAAAAGCCGCAAAACTAGGAAGCTGGGATTTCAAAGGATTTCCCTAGTCCACTTGCGAACCGATCAACTTAAAATCAATGTTTTGTACGTCTAAACCTTACATTTAAATTTTTCGGGAAGGATGAGCTGAAATTCCATGTGGATATTCCCTGCCTAAACGTGAGTGAAAGACTTCAAATTCAGCTATAACGCACGCCTATGGACACGAATTAAAATCCAAACAATGATTTACGCATACGGACACGAATTAAAATCCAGACGCTGTTGCGCCAACTCGAGAAATCAGACTGAGATTTTTTCCCCATATGCATGAATGTAGAAGTAAAATAGGCTTTGGTGCATGCCTGAATAGCACATTCGGACACTTCAAAAATATCTGTAACGAATGGTTTTTTCGCCAGTCGATTAAGCTAGGAAGTTGATATTTTATGAAGATATCCTATGCTCATTGCGGTGGAAATATTTCAGATTTAGCTCTGCAGAATGCATAACTCTCCCATACATGCAATTGAAATTTTAGTCTGGGGCACTGTTGGCACCCAATTAACTCGGTAATCAGACTAAGTATTGTTCTGAGGATGCTTACTGTTCATGTGCAGGTCAGCAAGCGTAAAATGAGCTTTTACTTAGGCATTTACCCTGCTTGCAGGGGCATGAAATTTCCATGATGCAACACCGCAGTTACGCCCCAATACAGGCGTTCTCTGCGCAGGATGGAGTCATGCAAAAACGTGTGATCGCACCGGCAATCCTGTGCGCACTGCTACTAATTTTATAATTCGATAAATGAATAAACCGTAGTAGCTTGTGGGAGCGATGAGCGCGATGTTTGGTTGGCAGTGGAAAATGCGGTGCTCCAGACGAATGGGCCGCAAAAGAAGACGAGTGCCGAATCATACCAGTCCTGCAAAGCAAAGTGTAACCTTATCACTGTTCGTTTGATCCACTTTTATGCTTTTTTTTTTCTAAAATTTACGATGATTTATGGTAGTGAGCGAACATGGTAAGTGTAAAGTAGCAACCTATTAAAGAGCTAACGACTTGATTACTTCAAGTTCAATGCAAAAACGCATGATCGTACCGGCAAGACTGCTGCTTTTCAGCCTAGGGTTGCACTTGCATGCGTTCAAAAAGTAGGCCACGAAATGAAGCTGATCAAAACATGAAGTTTTGCTGGAATCCAGGAAAAAATGCACATATTTTAGAATGCAGGAAGAGACTGCCCATCGTTCACGTACCACGAATTGGAGAGAGAATGCATGATTTATACCAGTAATGCGGCGTCCGTAACATCATTGGCATTTTTACCATCAGCAAAAACTGACTTCAACGTTCGTACTGCAGTCAAATTCTGTTATCCAGGTTATTTAGTTCCTGTACTCTTCCAAAACATATTATCATGTCATTGAAAAAGTTTTGTCTTTTTCGAATTTTCAGAAAGTTTGAGAGTTTTTGAACAGTGCTCCGAGTTCGTAGCATTCCGGGATTACACGCTGGACGTTGAACCCCGTGAGATCTTCGATGACATGCCAAGAAGCCGCGATGGGCTGCATGCTTGCATCGAACTGTGCGTTCTTGCGCCTAATTTCCATTGCAAGGTAGGTGAATACATGAGACGGTGAAATTGAAATGCATCCGGAGTATGGAAAAGATTGTCTTCTTCAGATAGGCAGTGTTAAATAAGTGAATTAAAATGAGGAATTTTTGTTTTACGCTCAGCAGGTGCTCCGAGTTCGTAGCATTACGGGATAGAGCAGGGCAGGTGTCAAAAAAAAAGGATTAGACAGGAAGGGACCACCGGTGA